TTTACATTACATTTTATACATATAAAAGTATACGTAACACACGTATAATGAAGCATGGCCCTAAGAAAACACGCATAAACAAGTAACTTAAGAACTAGAGCTTTACAAATACCCCTACATTTTATATTTTCCTCCAACCCAACCCCCTGCCTTACTCCCAGAGGTAAACAGTCCCTGAATATCCTGAATATCCATTTTTAATCAGTCCCTTGCTCCTCTTCAAAAAAATTTTAAATTTAAGATATAATTCACATACCATGAAATTCATCATTTGAAAGTGTCCAGCTCAACGATTTTTAGTATATTCATAAAATTATGCAACCGTCATCACTAACATTTCATCATCCCCAAAAGAAACCCATCCTAATTAGTGACTTGTCTTTCCACTTTTTAAATTGTCTTTCAATGAACAGAATTTCTTAACTCCGGTGTAATTAGATGCAATGATCTTTGTGTCTTGTTTAAAATTCCTTGTCAGAATTTTCTGAGTCAGGAAGCAGTTTCTTCTAAACATCTTAAAGTTTTGTCTTTTGCATTTAAATCTTTATTCCATCCGGAACTGATGTTTATGGAAGACATGAGGTAGGGATCGCATTCTTGCTTTTCCCCCATCTGACAACCAGTTGTCCTGGAACCATTTGTCACCATCTTCCCTCGTGATGTGCACGGCCACTTGTGTCTGGTGGGTCTGGTTTCTGTCCAGGTGTGGGTCTGTTTCTGAGCTCTCTCTTTGGATCTGTTGGCCAGTGTGTCTGTTCCTGCATCAAAATCAGTGTCTCGGTTACTAAGGTTTTGTGGTCATCTTTCCACGTGGTGGGAGCAGTTTCCGCTTCTTTTTTTCCTTTCTTCTCTGCCTCTCCTGCCCCTTCCTTCAGGAATGTCTTCACTATTCTCGATCTTTTGCTCTTACATATCAATTTTAGAATTAGCCTGTCAAATTCACCTAAAACTGTTGGGATTTTCATTGGAATTGCAATGCATCTATCTACAGAACAACTTGGGGGAGAACCGAAATTTTTTGTGATCTTGAGTCTCCTATCCGTCAATAAATCTCTTCATTTGTTTAGGTCCTTTTCAGTGTCTTTGAATAAAGTTCAATAAATGCTTTCATATAGATCTTGCACATCTTCTGTTAGATTTATTGCTAGGTATCTTACCATTTTTATTGCTATTTTAAATGCCATCTCGTGTGTGATGTCTAATTTTTGCTGGTATAGAGAAAGGCAATTGATTTGTATATATTGATCTTTTTTAAAATTGGAGTATAGTTATTTTCAGTGTTGGTTAGTTTCTGGTGTACAGCAAAGTGATTTAGTTATACATATATATATGTGAAGACTATATATATGAAAAATATATATTCTTTTTCATATTCTTTATCATTACAGGTTATTATAAGATATTGAATATAGTTCCATGTGCTAAACAGTAGTCCTCATTGTTTATCTGTTTTACATATATAGTAGTTATTATCTGTAAATCCCAAACTCCTAATTTATCCCTCCCCTCCCTTTGTTTTCTATGTCTGTAAGTCTCTGTTTTGTAAATAAGTTCATTTGTGCCATTCTATATATTCCACATATGAATGATCTATTTGTCTTTCTCTGAGTGACTCATTTCACTTAGTATGATCATCTCTAGGTCCATCCATGCTGCTGCAAATGGCATTATTTCATTCTTTTTATGGCTGAGTATCATTCCATTGTGTGTGTGTATATATATATATATATATATTCCACTGTATATATATATGTATATCTCACATCTTCTTTATCCAGTCATCTTTTAATGAACATTTAAGACTATAACCCTCTAAGTTCTACTTTCACTCCAAACACAAGCTTTGAAATGTGGCTAATTCATTATTGCCTAGTTCTTAGTACTTTAAATTTGCATTATAATTTAATTAACCTGTGCATTAAGGATGTTTTTTAAATGTCCCGATATATAGTGATTTTTAATTTACTTTTGTTATTGACCTCCAACTTAATGTGCACTGGGGTCAGAAAATGTGGTCTGTAGGAATCAGATGCCTTGAAATTTACAGAGATTTGCTTTATGATCTAGGCTGGGGTTACTTATTTTAAAAATTATATTCCATGTATTCAATTATTAATTCCTTCATTGTTGAGAAGAAAGTTCTGTAGACCCATTAAGTTAAGATTATTAACTGTTATTTAACTTTCTATGTATTTTCTCATTTTTTGACTATGTAACCTATCAAAAAATTGAGGTAGGTTCTTTAAAATCTACCACCATGAGGAAGGATTTATAAATTTATCCCTGTGTTTCTTACAATATTGTAACAGAAAGTTTGAAATTATTATACTGCCCTGTGAGTTGGATCTTTTACAATTATATAGGGATCCTGTCTTAAATTCTATTTTATTTTCCGCTTTTCTGTGTCTATGCACTGGGTGTGTCTTATAAACAGTAAAGAGTTAAATTTCCTTAAACATTCAATTTGATTATTAACTGTCAAGTTTATTCTGTTTAACTTTACTGTGACTGTTAACATATTTAGTCTGATGTCTACCATCTGTTTTCCCCTACTTTTCTTGTGTGTATTTCTCTTTTGACCTGTTTTTTTATTTTTGGATTGACTTTCTTATTCATTTTCTCCCTCTCCAGGCTGAGAAATTATTCAAGCTGTTTGTAGTCTTTTAGTGGTTACCTTTGAAATTTTATCATTTGTATTTGCTATAGACTGAATGTTTGTGTCCCCAGTCCTCCATGTGATGGAATCTGGAGGTGGCCTTTGGAAGGTGACTAGGTCATGAGTGGAGGTGGGGGGAGGTTGGGGAGGAGCCCTCATGATGCGATCAGTTCTCCTGTAAAAGAGACCCCAGAGAACTCTCTTGCCCTTTCTGCCATGTGAGGGGTCAGTGACAAGACAGCATCTATGAACCAGGAAGCAGGCCCTCATCAGACACTGAATCTGCTGGCCTCTTGATCCTGGACTTTCCAGCCTCCAGATCTGTGAGAAATCAGTTTCCATTGCTTATAAGGCACGCAGTCTATGGCGTTCTGTTATAGCAGCCTCTGAACAGACTGAGACGGTACTCGATCTAACAAAGATTTTAAAAATCTAAAGTTAAAACATAATAGTTATTAGGTAAAATACTCTTCTTGAAAAATACAAAGCATCTCCTTCCTGATATATATGCTATTATTGTACAAAATTTCAGCTTTCTTAATCCTATGAAGTAGTTATCAGTGTTTGTATTTCTCAGAAACGCTTGTTAGGTTTACCCATGTGTACAGTTGCCAGCCTTTAAGCTAGCCCCCAATACTTCCTGGTCTTCACATCCTTGTACAGTCCCCTTTCACAGTGCACCAGGGTTTATTGTGTGACCAATAAAATATGGCAGAACTGATAGGTCACTGAAAATATATCATAAAAGGCACCACAGCTTTCTCTTCTCGCTCGCTCGCTCACTCGCTGACCGCTTGCTCTGGGGAAAGTTACCTGCCATGTCTTAAGGATACTCAGGCATCCCTGTGGAGAGGCCCACGTGCCAAAGAACCGTGGGTCTCAGTTCAAAA